TGCGGACGCCGATCCTTTTGCGAGTCGCTACCCTGCCTCCCCAAGTTCTCGTTCGAGACTCACTTCGCCCCAGTGCACGGAAGGCATCGGCAATCGACGCTTGTCTCCTCTCCTCGTGTGTCTCCACTCGCTGCTTCCTCGGGCACGTTCTTGTGGAAAGTTTGAGCGCCACTTACTGGGAGCGGGTGTTTCGCGAGTTTGAGTGCGGTGGTGTAGGCTAGACACGGTTGGGATGCGTTAAACAGGTCAGTAGTTTCAAAACAAACTTATTCTTTTTTGTTTCTTCAGATTAATGAGAACTTTATTGTCAGCTAACCAGGAATCTCACAATTGCAGCGATGACCTGCACTTTGCCTTCACGTGTTTTTTTTTTTTTAAAGAGCAATTGTGTCTTTAACTATAAATATTTTTATGTGCAGCGTTAGGAAATGTTGTTTATGGATGACTTTTAACTAGCGTTTGATATCTGATTGTCCATTTTATAACTACTTTATAAAATCAGGGCTACTCATCCCTACTTGGTGAAATGGCAGCCAAAGGTTGCTCACACTTAGTTGTTGTAAGTTTTTTTTTTTTTTGAACAAATATAGAATCACTTATTAAAAATCGCTATGCACTCAAAGATTTGTGTTCTTTCGATATTGTTCTGCAAAACAAAGAGAATAAAATTCCACGATTGTGGTGAACGCTCTTCAACTTTTCCAAAAGAAGTGGTAATAACTGTTTGCAAGAAAAATGTTAATCTAATATGGCCCTTAATTGGACAAATACGTTGGAACCATGTTAACCGTTACCATTCAAGTTCAATACCTTTGTGATATTTTTAAGTATTTAAAATTGAGTGTTGCGTATTGTCAAAAACAATTAAGTTACAGAAATATTTGCTGTGAGGTAAATTGCATGGCATATCAGCGCCTAATTAGGTCATTGGAAAGAGCAATAAAACAAGCACGAGACTTTGATATATCATCGTACTCGCGAAACTGTATCATGAAACAGCTGTTTCCTTTTTAACAGATATAATACCTCCACCATAACAGCTACATTCACAGAAGCCACAATGTTGGCAAAGATAGTGTCAGTATGATATTTATGTGCAATATTGATTTAGGATTTTGTTTTTGCAGATAGCAGTCACTTAGAGGTTTTTACCAAAAACCACGTTCTCTTGAGCCTTCCCTTGTAATCGAATGCCCTTGCACCACCTGTGTGCCAGCCTTTTAATGGCATGCTGGAACGATTTTTTTAAGTGTGCCTCACTCCCTATCTTCCAAACGTGTGACTGGTCGTACGAAGTCTCTGAAAATGGCTGAGCCTGATCAGGCACGTGTCATTCGCTACGTCACGTTGATTCACGCGAGGTCATGATTGGCCGCCTTCTGATCTTTTTTGGCCGTCTTTTAGGCATATCGCACAAGGAGTCTGGCGATTCATCGCGCGTGGGTATGGCATGACCGGGTTCCCAGTAATTGTCGCCTTCTGGATGCAATTGATAAATCTCTCTGAGGACGCCATTTTGAATTCATTAATATGCCTGAAACATTTGTCCTGGCGTGGGTCTGAGACACTCCCAAAACTGGTTCCAGCAGGGCGTGGAGAGCCTGACACGCAGGTGGTGCAACAGCTTTCGGTTTCAGGTAGAATGTGTCGAGAATGGATATATGTACAGACCTGGGAGTGACCGGTATTTGCAGCAAAAAACAGTAATTGTAAATTATTATGCAACGCATTTAGACTGTGTCCAGCATTGTCGACAATAAAGGTACTGAACCGCAGAGTACCACCACAAACTATACAAGACCTTTACGCAATAAGAGCGCCAAAATGTTGTTCATAGTAAAGATTGACAACAACACAGCGCCTTGTGATTTCGTCAATCTTTACTCTGCGTCTCTGTCTTTTAGTTTTTTTCAGTTTTAATTAAATGAACGAACCAGGCCATCTCGGCATTGTGGCGTAAAAGTTCTGCGAGCTTATTTATTGTTCGAAGCGCGAGGAGTGCGTTACAGAATGTTCCCGTGTTTCCAAGAGACACGCCACGGTCTCAGTAACGGTTTCTTTACTATTTGGTAAAACTATGAATGGATATCGTAGCAGTAGATTTTTCTGAACAGTTGATATAGATGTTGGGAGAAAACAGGATATCCTTCGAAAAACGAAACTATCCGCACTCTTTTAAGGTTGATCTAAAACAAATCTAGACGCCTAATAAGTTTTGTCCAAAGTGGTCACTCGATTCACTATAAAACTGTTAAAACAAACCACATAAAAAAACTGAAATGTATATTTACAAACATGCTGTATTCATGGGTGCTCCCGCTTCTATAAAAAAACTGCCGGGGACTGCTAGCGACTTGAATCTTCATACGCAACCCTACAATATGTGGCTGTTTGGGGTGTTACCCGTATCCAGTAGAAATTGTCAGACAGCTTTGAAGGAAGTGCGTTCCTCTCAATAATTTTGTCAATGTTGTTTATTGCCAGAAATTTTTTAAAGATATGAGCCATATTTTGTGAAAAAACAATGGATATATTATTGTGATTTGTTCGGCTTGAAGGTTTGTCAGCTACACTTATAAATTTCTTTTAAGTGTTCAAAGTATACAACAATTAGACAGTGAACACGACATGGAAAAAGAAGACGCTTGCTCACTGTGGGGATATCGTGCCTGATGTTTGTACAGTGCGTCTTTTGCAAGTGCTAAACATATATATATATATATATATATCTTAAGAACGATTGGCAGTCTCTAGAAATACGTTAATGAGGTTTGCGGATGGATTTTCTGAAAGTTTCAATGATTTTTGTGTTCAAAAGGCATATTAAACATTTAATAAAAAAACGCACTTGCCTATAAAAAAGAATAAATTGATATGTATGGCTTACTCAGAGGCCAGAGAGTGATACACTTTGGCGAGGCGTGTGGCATTAGGCAGTATCCGTGAGCACTAGACTTTTCACAACTACTGAGAACCTCCTTAAACATTTTTTCATGCGATTATTTTCGGAATTAAAACTCCTCAATGTATTACTGACGTTGATTTTTGAGGCGCGTTTATTTATCTTTATAAACGTTTGTGATAACAAGTATCGTAACGGACCTATTTTTCGCTTGCTCAATATTCAGCCATTTAGGTCAAAGCTTAAGTGTTGGAATAATTCGCGGGTTCTAATTTTCTCGGCGCGGTGAGATCTCAATATAGATTCCAATCCATTTACATTTCACGGGAATTGTTTGCGGGGCCACTTTATAGCGAATTGTAGGTGATTTGCGAAATTCACAAAAATTAAGTCTTCGCGAAAATTATGTCACTTACTGTATATGCTACTCATATCGGAGTGTAATCAATCAAGATATTTTTATCTTTAAACTATTCTGTTTTCCGCCTCTCGCAATGTTAAATGTCATTACAAATTTTTAAAGGCGTTGACATATTTTTTTTAGCAGAAGTACGACTAGAAAAAAAGATTTTGGGCGTTTTTCTGTTACTACAAGTGTTGCCGACTTTCTTAAACGGTAGACTTTAGTACTGTCACTTGATAATAACTTTTATAATATATGCCTTGTTGGGAATAAAGGCTCGGCATGACAAATATGTCTAGGATAATATTAGAAACTTAGTCTTGGACCACGTCACGCGTCAAAACTTTCCCATCGCGCAGAAACAACCTTATTTCCCGTTGATTCTGCTACAACTCATGAACAAAATCTCTTTGTGAGTGACATAAGAGTGTTTATTAACGCTCCTTAGCTTGTTGCAGTCGGGCCTTTGTGTGCTCTTGATATTTACGAGGTCCCGAAAGAGGTTTATGACTTCTGAACAGAAACAGGACTCCAACAGCCTGACCTAGAACTTAAGAGCATTATAACTGCGTGCTTGATCGATGAAGTTCTTATCTAAGTGTCTTAAACACTCAAAAAGTATATTTTTGGCTGTATGCTGAACGTGGTTATGCTTGTTGGTGCAAATGGATTTTTTCTCTTATATTAGACTTTCAACGTGAAGATGAAATGTTTACCTAGTGTATTTATTTTTGAAATATTAGGTGCTGGAATCTACAAATTATGAGTTGCATTATAAAGAACACTAACAATAGTACATTTATTTCAAATTAACGAACATTGGTTGCAAAAAATAGCTCACATTTTGTTTCTTCCTTATTTACATCAATTTTAATTTCATTACATTGATTACATCAGTGACTCCGTTAACGCGCACGTCCTATTCTACCTATATATAAAATATTTTTATGTACACACTTAATACATCTTGTGGCAGTGCACAATTTTTCCAGCTTTCTATGGAAATGGGTCAATGCCATGACTTCGGTTTGGTACACTTAGATCCCTAAATAATTAAATTTAATCATTAATTGCCCTCATTACCTAATGCATATAAATACTGGAGTGTCCATTATTAGTTCATTTTTGTCGGACCTCATTCCATTATTCGCATTATACAAAGTAATATCCGCGTGCATATGCGTAGTGATGGCTATAGTGGGGTAGGATGCAGGCCAGGTCATATTGTTTGTAGTGAGAGTGTCCAAATCATGAATGTAGAATTGTGTTTTTGCAAGTATACGGGGAAATATTGCGCTCCCAATGTAAAATAGCACCAATGAGTTTTGCCAAGATGCTCCAACCTAAAGAAGGACTTTGTGTGCTTTTGAAAGATGCAGTTTAGAACTTCAAAACGAATCGTATATTGTGTTTGTTACAATACAAAAGGCGTAGCGACGGACACAACTTCAACATCTTATCGACCTGATTTAGTGGAACCTAAAACAACCACTACATGTAGCCTTTCAACTATACTGCACACGCCAGATTATCCACTCAAAGTCACAAACAAGACTATATCCTCCTGGTCCTTCGAGTAATGCAACGTACAACGGCAAACTCAGTTAGTGATCTTCCCTTTCACAGCCTGACGAGCCTCCTGGCTACCCCATTACCACTGGGCTGCTCCACTACACTCGTCTCCCTCGACACAGAATGCCGCCCAACGTTACCCAGGGATTTACGGTGGACTGGCTGGATCCCTTCCGGAATTATACCACACACACACCGGAATGGAACGCCAGTGAGGAAACCACGGGCAATCACTACCCGGACCTCATGGGACATTCGAACCACACCCCGTTCCCAACGAGTGACGTGGTGAACGTGACGGCGGATCGACAGTTTGTGCTCCCCTGCTGGGTCCAGCTCGTCTACGCGTTTCTGTTCGGAGGAATGGTGCTCATCGCGGTGCTGGGCAACGCGACCGTCATGTGGATTGTGTTGGCACATCGCCGCATGCGCAGTGTGACCAACTACTTTCTCGTGAACCTCTCCGTGGCGGACCTCATGACGTCGACGTTCAATGCCGTGTTCAACTTGGTGTACATGCTGGAGAGCCATTGGGCCTTCGGCGAGTACTACTGCGTGTTCAGCAACTTTGTGGCCAACTTGACGGTGGCTTCCTCCGCCTTCACAATGGCAGCCATGAGCATCGACAGGTAATCTGCACGATTGATTTCGTAGTTCTCAGATCTGGATCAGTGCATGCCGCTTTTGCAGAAGGAACGGTGATATCAGAGAAATGTGGTTTGCCTAATGAGCGAACCTCTTTCGCAAAGTGTTTCTCGTGTTGCGGCACAAAATTAAATTTATTTATGTTTAGATTACAATTGGATATTTATATACATCGCACTCGAAGGCAGCATGCTTACATACCGTTCGGTTTCTTCAATTGTCTTTTGAATATTAGTGCTGGAAAGGAAAAACTACTATTACATAAACTAGACCATGTTAGATTTTTTCCCCAACCAGCATCGTTTTAAGAAACGTCATTCACGTATCCGCCAACTATTTGAATTTACCGCCGACCTTCACTTTAATAATCATTGCTCAGCAGAAACCGACGTTATTTTTATTAACTTCGCGAAAACTTTCGATACCGTTCCGCAACAACGACTACTTCATAAACTTTCTGTCCACCATATCCATCCTTCAGTCATCAGATGGACAGCTTCGTTTTTAACAGACAGAGATCAGTTAGTTTCCGTCAAGAGTTCTTCACCAACATCAGTCCCAATAACTTCCGGTGTTCCCCACGGCAGCGTCCTCGGCCGCCTTCTTCTTTTCCTTATCTTTGTTAATGATCTTTCTTCCTCAATTAACTCGACAGTTCGACTATTTTCCGATGACTGTGTTGTATACAAAAAATTACTGACCCAACAGATCATTACATTCTTCGCAACAATCTCGACACCATTACCACCAACTCGATCAAATCATATGGCGAATATTCATTACTGTCACAGCAATTAGAGAGTGTCTCATTATACAAATTGTTGGGTATCCATGTTTCTAAACACTATCGTGGAATGATCACATCGGCAACCTAATTGCCAGCTCAACGAGATCATGAGCTTTGTTTTAGAGGGAACTTCTATCAGGCGCCTGCTTCGACAAAATTATTCGCCTATAAAACAATAATTTGACCCAAATTTGAGTATGCAAGCGTTGTGTGAAATTCTCATCAAAATTATCTAATATTAAACTATGAATAAATTCAAAACAAAGCCAACTGGTTCATTATAAACGATCATTCTCCAGAAATTAGTGTCTCCGCCTTAAAATCAAGACTTGGTCTCGCTTCATCAGCCACACGACGAAAAACTAACCACATGTGTTTCCTGCATAAAGTTTACCACAGTAATTCACAGTCCAGAAATTGCTGTTTTCATAAAGCCCATTATATTTCTTCTTGAGACGACAGTACATGCAAACTTCTTCAATACTGATCCCATAACAACTGATTCATGTTTTCTACCTTAACATTGCGTACTACAGAATAGAATAACTTGATAGATCATGTTGTAACCAACTTAGATATTACAGCGTTTCAAGAAATGTGTGTGATTTTGTTCAATGCGTAGGGAATGTCTTATTGAGCATATATATTTTTGTCTGTCTTTGTGGTTAGACGAGATGTGGTTGTGTTAGTGTTCTTACGCTCCTCAAAAGACACCCTTAAGGTAAATAAATGAAATGAAATGAAAAATGTAATGTAAGAAGAATAAGAAATCTATGCTCATCAGTTTTCTTAACACACTTTTGAAATTGGTATCATCAAAACAAACAAAAAATAAAGGCGCAGTCAATTTTTTTTTTGTATTTCACGCCTTCTTTGCTTGGGCGTGTCTGCGTACCAGAAAAGGCGTCACTTGCTGACGTTCGTATCTGAGAATAAAGTAAAAACGAAAGCGTAGTTCAGAAACACGGTACAGTCAGAAGCACAGAAGGAACAAAACAAAAACAACAAGGTGCGGAGCATATTCTGTTGCCGTGAGCAGGCACGTTCTTTTCACCTCAACCTTCGTTGCCTCAACACAGTTTGATGTATTATTTAAATAGCAGTGCTATTATAATCATAGCTCGAGTCTGAAGGATAAGATGCAAGCAAGGCATCTCCCACTATACCCACTTTCCGAAGATGTGTTTTTTATAGTCAAATAGAAACATTGCTAGTTTGCGTATGACAGCAAGCACAAATCATTTAAAGTTAGCGTCGAACGGGTCTCAAACTCTGCGTGCTCCGAGGATCGAACGGTAAATCGGTGTAACTCCTTCAATCTCTGCCTTCACTACAATATATTTTTTTGTATTTTAGTCAGTAGGTGCCGTCAATGATAAACTTTTTTATTCCTGTTTTATATTACGCAACTCGTGGTAGATTGTATACATGGCTTCCACCCACGCAATGCAAACGGTGTGTATGTCACTTGAGTGAAGTCAGTGCCGTCGGCGGTGTCATGCTGTAGTCTACCGAGGGTTCAAGGTTCAGATTTACCGCCCTGCTGCCACGAAGAGACTGTGCTGCTTTCGAATGCTTTTCTTCTATTGAAGAAGATTTCCGCCACTTCGAGAAATGAAGAAGTCAGTTTCTTCCGAGGTTCGGTGAGTTTAGAAAGTGTTTTGTCAAAAGACGCCATTCTATCAGCAGCTAGATTACTCGGATAAACCACACATGCAAATCATCTTCGCGAGGGGACCTACGTTGCAGCAGAAGTCACCAAATCGGTAAGAGGTTCACATCTTTCAAATTACTTCGCAGAAAAAATAAATAACTCATTATTTGAATGTAATGTGTTTTCGGAGTTTGGCCAGAATAGATAGCTCTAAAACAAAGACGAAGATATCCCACTGCTTTACTACATTTATGCTTGACCTTAGGTTAGAATTCGCGTCCGATCACACCGAAGGGTCAGCTCTTCCATACAACTCCACCAAGCATGGGACAGCAGGCATCGTAGACGTGATCGCGTAGCTAGGGTATAGCTCCCAATTCGGCTGCTTTAGATTCATCCGTGTTGACGTTTCTGCCGCCGTTACGTTCGAGTGAAGGGACGCGTAGAAAAATTAAGCGTACGTACCGCATGAAGCTCAAGCTCTCCACACGGCGTATATTTGAGCCTTGGGTTAACGAGATCAGCAGATCCAATCAACGACACTGAGTACTGCATTGCAACACGATTGCGTGGGCATCTCATTCCTTAGATTTACAACCCGCCCACTCATGAAAACAGCCGCAAAGCCCATGCAATCCCGTAATCGAGACCAGCTGTTCATTAAAAAAAAAAAAAAAAAGATCACATCAATGTTTACAAAAAAAAAAAAAACAAAAAAAAAATACGGGTATGCTCTGTCTATAACACGACCGAAAGTTTTAGGGGTGGCAACGTCTAAGTGGTGAGTCTAGCGCAATGAAACGCGTGTATGAAAAGTAACATTTATCTTGAAGTAACGGAATTAATTTTAACACACACATCTATAACTAAAAAATTTCCTAGTCACCGAATCAGCTAAAAAAAAAAAAAACTTAAACATGCGGTAAAATTATACAGCTAAACTATTCACAGGAATTCGAACGAAACCAACGTTAAGACAAAGACAAGCGTATCCAGTGACGAGTCCCACAGGCAGTCCCGCAACACGTGCATAAACGGCAGATTCGACGAGATGAGCCGCTCGTTCACTAGTTCTGAAGGCGGAAGCCCGGGGGGCGTGTCCGGGGACACGAATCCGTTCACCGCCGCGAGCCGCGGCATCCTGCCGGCAGACAGTGAACGCTTGCACGTCGAGTAAGCAGAGTGGGTAGTGCGGTAGTGCGAGGTTGTTTGTCGAGTAACGTCGAGTAAGCAGAGTGGGTAGGCGGTAGTGGGAGGTTGTTTGTCGAGTAACGTCGAGTAAGCAGAGTGGGTAGGCGGTAGTGGGAGGTTGTTTGCAGTGTTCCACTGCGCAATAACTTGCACTTATTTTGGCGGCAGGCGCGTCAACAAAAGTAAGAGAAGCAGACGATACGTATGGGGAAGACTAGCTCCAAAATGAATGTGGTATCCACGGAGAGAGTTTCATGGAGATGTTGAGCTTCTACCTGGAATCTACCTCTATTGCGTTTGAAGCTTCGCAATTCATTCAGAAGGAAGACATATGTATCGGGACGAACGTAGCTTCGGAGCTGAGTGATTTATTTTTGGCAAAATGCGACGGAGATGTTGAAGCTAAAATAGACAGTAGTATCATTCCGAAATTTAGGTATGTAAACGACTACCAGATATTGTTCCACTCGTGGGTGGAAGTAAAAGAGCAGAATTTATTCCATAGTCCCTCGCACACTGAACGTACATGCACTATCTCGCTGACCATGAACACTGCATTGAAGCGCGCGTTAGGAAGCGCCCTATATATATATATATATATATATATATATATATATATATATATATATATATATATATATATATATATATATATATATATATATATAAACCGGACCGGGATGTTGGGAGGTCCACAGTTCAAATCCTGGCTCCGCCGTTTTTTGGCTTTCGGCGCGTTCCTGAAAAGCTTTGATTCTTTCATTCATTGGATTAAGTACGGTTCATTCATCTGCACATATTCGTTTATATATATATATATATATATCTATAGGGGCGGTTTCATTTGGATTCTGGCAACGAGCGGCAGTCGTATTTTTCATTTTCCTTGAAATTTTCATATTTTGTAGCGCATGTTCTCAGAAGAACAATACTTTGTATTTTAATGTCCTGACATGTTTAGTTTCGGAGAAAAAAAATCTCAAAGAAGCGGGAAAGAACGACGAGGTTTTAACGATTGATTGTTGTGTCTGGCGTTCTTGAATCACTCTCAATCTCAAAGTATTCAAAAGAGAGCGTCTATATTTTTTAGTGTGATGTATATGCAAGTAGGTAAGACGAAATTATAACTACTATTTATTATTCGTCGCTTCAATCTTTGTAAAAATCCCTAAACAAGCCTCTGCGAACAACTGTGACCTAAATTGGGGATTTTGTTTTGAGTCGACTATGTTTAGTATCGCTTTTAAAATATAACCACCTGTAGAACCTTACACTGCCTTTCAAATTAAGCAAAGTTTTTGTTTTTATTATGCACGATTACTGAAAAATAAATTATGAAACAGAGAGGGTTTTGAC